TCAGGCGGCTGCTGAAGTTAAATTAGTAACTCAAATCAAGGGCAATAAGAAGTCCTTCTTTCAGTATGTAGGGAACAGGAGGAAAACAAATGGGAGTGTGGGGTCATTGCTCAACAACTCAGGACAGCTGGTTACTGACACTCAGGAGAAAACTGAACTCCTGAATGACTGTTTTGCTTCAGTATTTCACTGAACCAGGGGGAAAACCATGCTAGATAGGGTGTGGAATGAGCATGGTGGGAATGACTGCCTTCCTACTATTGACATTGAACTGGTGCACAATCAATTAAAAAAAATTAGACATCTGTAAGTCAGCTGGACCAGATTAACTTTATCCGAGAGTGCTGAAGGAACTGGCCGAAGTTATTGTGAACCCCCTGGCGAAACTCTTCCAAAACTTGTGGCGCTCCAGGGAGGTCCTTGACGACTGGAAGAGAGCCAATGTTGTGGCCATCTTCAAGAAGGGGAGGAGAGAGGACCTGGGTAACTATGGGCCAATTTGCCTAACTTCTATTCCAGGGAAAATCCTGGAAAAATTCAATAAGGAGTCTGTGTGTTATAGGTTTGCAGAAGGTAGGATTCTGAATGACAGCCAGCATGGCTTCGTTGCAGGCAGGTCTTGTTTTACCAATCTCATCTTCTACGACCAGGGGACTTGCCACCTGGATAAGAGAGAGGAGGTCGACGTTGTGTACCTTGACTTCCAAAAGGCCTTTGATCTGATATCCCATGCTGCTATCGCGGGAAAATTAGAGGATTGTTGGCTTAACTACTCGACAGTTAGATGGGTAGGAAGCGGGATGCAGGGTATGACCCAGAGAGTTCTAATGACTGGATCTGTGTTGTCCTGGCGAGAAGTGGCCAGTGGTGTCCCTCAGGGGTTGGTGCTTGGACCAGTTCCTTTCAACATCTTTATCAATGATTTGGATGTGGGGGTGAAAAGCTCACTGGCAAGTTCGCAGATGACACCAAGTTATGGGGGAACGTGGTCACGCTTGAAGATAGGCTGCAGGTACAGGCGGCCATAGACAGGCTGACAAGTTGGGTGGATTGGAACAAGATGAAGTTCAACACTGAGAAATGTACAGTGCTCCATCTGGCGATGAACAATCCCCAACATACTTATAGGCTCGGTGGCACCAAACTGACTAACACCATAAGTAAAAGGGAGCTAGGGGTAATAATAGACCAAAGTATGAATATAAGCCATCAGTGTGATGCTGTAGCCAGCAAGGCAAGTAATACTCTGGCATGCATCAATCGATGCATCTCAAGAAAAAACCAAGGAAGTGATTCTTCCACTTTATTTGGCACTGGTGAAATAACAGCTGGAGTACTGAGTCCAGTTCTGGGCGCCGCACTTCAACAAGTACTTGGCAAAACTTGAGAGAGTCCAGAGAAGAGCCACCCATGTGATCAGAGACTTGCAAGGCAAGCCATATGAGGAAAGGCTGAGGGACCTGGGCCTCTTCAGCCTAAAAAAAGAGAAGGCTGAGAGGGGACTTGGTAGCAGTTTACTGCTACATCAGGGGAATACATCAAGGGCTTGGCAAACAACTGTTTGCCAAGGCATCCTTGGGGAAAACTAGGAGTAATGACCACAAACTCCTGGGAGACTGTTTCAGGCTTAACACTAGGAAAAAGCTTCTTCACAGTTAGAATGTCCAGAATGGAATAAACTCCCTCCAGAGGTGGTGCAATCACCTACCCTGGCGATCTTCAAGAAAAGACTGGATGGTCATCTTGCTAGGGTCACATGACCCCAGTTGTCTTTCCTGTCTAGTGCAGGGGGCCTGGACCCCATAATCTTGCGAGGTCCCTTCCTGCCCTTACAATCTAAGAATCTGTCTCTGAATCTATAAATGTATGACTGAAGAACTGAACTATGGTCAATAAGAAGTTATTCAATAGAATAAGCAGTAACAAATACAGATTCATATCAATCATGTAGAAAAGAGCACTTTGCACCTGTAGGTTGTTTTTGTGGGGTCCCCAACATTCTACCGGGCAAGTATGTCATGAATAACACTGATGGCTGAGAAGGAAGAAATAGGACCCACTTTTAGTCTCTGGCTGGGTCCTTTCACCATATGAAAGATGACAGAATGGATGGATTGGTGCCAACAGATCCAGGGAAAACAGAAGACCCAGAACCAAAGTGGAAGTCAATGTTTATCCATAACTACTTTCACAAAGAGAAAAAAGCAACTTGCTGTGGACTTCAATCTTTTCTTTCTACATTAAGCCTAGTTGCAGACCTGCCACAACAAAGCAGTGGTTGTGATGGCAATGGTGTTGAGGAATGCCTCTGCTACTTGCTAGGGGATCAAGGAAGTGAACTCTGGCACTCAGAGACACTAATACGGGGTGTCACAATTCCCTATCCATTTGGTGGCAGTCTCAGATTGGGAAGAATGGGACAGTGAGAAGGACCTCTTAAAGGAACCCTAGGA